CATGATCTTCCATAAGGTAGAGACTACTCATCTCCTGATATTCTCTCTACCTTTCTGATTACACCCACCACCAGGATATCACAACCTCCAACATGATCTTCCATAAGGTAGAGAATACTCATCTCCTGATATTCTCTCTGCCTTTCTCATTACACACACCATGGGGATACCATATCCTCCAACATGACCCTTCATAAGAGTAAAATACTCTGCTCCTAACCTCTACCTTTCCTATTACACTTACTACCCAGATGTAACCTCCTCCACCATGACCCTCCATAGAAAATGCTGTGCTCATGATCTTCCCTCTACGTTTTTGATTACACTCCCCATGGGGATATCACATCCTCTAACACGACCCTAAATTAAGTTAAAAATGCTTTGCTCCTGACCTTCTCTCTACCTTTCAGATTCCCACTCACTACAGGGATATTACACCTCCAACATAACTCTCTGTAAAGGTAGAAAATACTTTGCTCCGTAACTTCTCTTTATCTTTCTGATTACACTCATTATGGGAAAATAACACCTTCAACATGACCCTCCAAAAGGTAGACAATACTCTGCTCTTGACTTTCTCTCTACTTTTCTGATTACACCTACCACCAGGATGTCACAACTTCCAACATGATCTTCCAAAAGATAGAGAATACTCGTCTCCTGATATTCTCTCTGCCTTTCTGATTACACAAACCATGGGGATACCATATCCTCCAACATGACCCTTCATAAGAGTAAAATACTCTGCTCCTAACCTCTACCTTTCTTGTTACACTTACTACCCAGATGTAACCTCCTCCACCATGACCCTCCATAGAAAATGCTGTGCTCATGATCTTCCCTCTACGTTTTTGATTACACTCCCCATGGGGATATCACATCCTTTAACACGACCCTACCTGAAGTTAAAATGCTTTGCTCCTGACCTTCTCTCTACCTTTTAGATTCCACTCACTACAGGGATATTACACCTCCAACATAACTCTCTGTAAAGGTAGAAAATACTTTGCTCCATAACTTCTCTTTATCTTTCTGGTTTCACTCATTATGGAAAAATAACACCTTCAACATGACCCTCCAAAAGGTACACAATACTCTACTCTTGACTTTCTCTCTACCTTTCTGATTACTCGGACTTTTTTTCTTAGAAAATAGGTTCAGGAACTCAACCACAACCCCATGACCCCCCCCCCCACATCCCCCTCCAAACTGCATAAAATAGTGGGTGTGGTCACATTGCACCACAGTGGGAGGGTCTTAAAAGGGCAATAAATACAAGGAGTGCATTATGTACAGAGTGCAGATTTTGAGGGGGTTATATACAGAGTGCAGAGTTCAGGGGGTTATACACAGAGTGTAGAGTTTGAGGCGGTTATACACAGACTGTAGAGTTCAGGGGGTTATACACAGAGTGTAGCAGGGACGGACTGACCATTTGGAAACTCGGACACTGCCCGAGGGCCCGGGGTCAGTAGGGGGCCCCATGAGATGCCCCTGGTACCTTTTTCATAGGCTTTTTTTGAGTTTGTGCAAGGACACAGGGGCCCCATGATCCCCTATTGCCCGGGGGCCCCATGAGTTGTCAGTCCGCCCCTGGAGTGTAGAGCTTGAGGGGGTTATACACAGAGTGCAGAGTTTGTGGGGGTTATACACAGAGTGCAGAGTTCAGGGGGTTATACAGAGACTGCAGAGTTCAGGGGGTTATACACAGAGTGTAGAGCTTGAGGGGTTATACACAGAGTGCAGAGTTCAGGGGGTTATACACAGAGTGCAGAGTTCAGGGGGTTATACACAGAGTGTAGAGTTTGAGGGGGTTATACACAGAGTGCAAAGTTCAGGGGGTTATACACAGAGTGTAGAGTTCAGGGGGTTATACACAGACTGCAGAGTTCAGGGGGTTATACACAGACTGACTGCAGAGTTCAGGGGGTTATACACAGAGTGCAGAGTTCAGGGGGTTATACACAGAGTGCAGAGTTCAGGAGGTTATACAAAGAGTGTAGAGTTTGAGGGGGTTATACACGGACTGCAGAGTTCAGGGGTGTACTATATACATATAAGTATAAATAAATTGCCGCGCTACTCCATCATTACTGCCAAATAAATACATAAATAGTGAAAGATATGTAAAAAAACCATCAACATATAATCAAGTCCCAACTGAAAAAAAAAAAAGTAGAAAAAAGTCCCAATATTCTGATAACGTGTAATCTAGCACCGCGTGTCTTCAGATAAAACAAGTGCACCACCACCAAGTATTGGTAGGACTCTTACCGGAACATATGGACCCTTAAGCTGATCAGAGTCATAAACGCAGGAATGTAATGGCCTGGAGATGTGTATCCACCATAACTCTCAAGCAGAGGAAAGATGCTGGACAATCATAATAAGCGCCAAGGATCACTTCAGACCATCTCCATCTTTTATGGCTCTCTGATGTATATATTCAATTAGACCATAAAGGAAGAAACATGAGAGCAAACATCGCATAAAACCATATGGACAATTTTATTAAAACTATTGAATTCCACTCACATTTATGTAGACAAATAAGCGCTGTATACAAATATAAGACCTCTGGTCCCGGGAACCAATCCAGCTTCCTGGTAATCGAAAAACAGCGTGATGACGTCAGGAACACAGACTCCACCCGACACGTTTCGTCACAAATGACGTCGTCTGGGGCATGTAAAGGGACTTTTTTTTTTACTATATACAGAGTGCAAAGTTCAGGGGCTGCGCTACACTCAGAGTGCAGAGTTCAGCCTTCTTCCACAGCTGTTACCTCTGCATCCCCCATCTACATCTCATTTGCACCCCTCTTCAGCTCTGACCTCTGCATGCAACCCCCCTCCCCCTCCACTGCCCATAACTTCTGCCCCCTCCTTAAAAGCTCCACCATCTTCCACATCTTACTTTTGTTGCTGTATTAAGCTGAAGCACCCAGCAGGCTCTAGTACCTGTAGGCAGCTCCCCCTCTCTTACTTGCAGGGAGATGGGGGCGTTGACATCTGCCCTGCACCCCAGGCACCTGCATCTCTCTTGTCCCCATGCTACACTCAGTGGGAGCCGCTCAGGAAATTAGATCTGTGGGAATCGTTGGGTGACAAGCTGTCACTTGTAAACTCAGAAGCCTGATCTCTGTCTACAAGTCATAGTGGTGAGTGGGGAGCATGGAGCCTGAGCCAAACGTGGCGGAACTGAGTTCCACCAAGTTCCAGCTGAAAAAGCCCTGCTGATTACACTTTCTTTGAAATCACACCCTCTATAAGGAAAAAATACTCTGTTCTTGAACCTCACCCTACCTTTAGGATTACATTTACCACAGGGATATTGCCCCTCCACCATGTCCCTTCATAAGATGAAAAAATACTCTGTTCTTGGCCTTCTTTCTAACTCTCTGATTACACTCACCAGTAGGATATTACACTCTCCAGCATGACTGTCAGGAATGGACTTGCCAATAGTGGTGGGACTCACCTGCCTTGTGGGCTGCAGTACCAGGGCTGGCCAGCGGGTGCTCTCAACAATCAGAGGTTCACTTCGGCAATTAGCCATCACCTGGGGATGATTGCAGGTGTATTTAAGGGATGGCCAGACCTGCAGTCTGTGCCTTGGTGTGTGTTTTTCCATGGGCCCCTGTATCTTGTAACCTGCATTCCTGTTCCTGTTTCTGCCTGACTTGTTGCCGACCCTGCCTGATCCTGACCTCTGCTGACTTCTCCTGTTTTGATCCCTGGCTTGTGACCCTGACCATTCTCTCCGCCTGCTCCTCCTGTACCTACTTGCCCGATAGTTATCCACCCGGCCTGCCTAACTACGTTGTGCTCTACAGGTGTATGTACCGGGGTATCTGTATCAGTTTAGGTTTGGGTTTGTTTCACCTTGTTGTATGTATTTGTGTTAGCTTGGGGTTTGGTGCACTGCGTTTATGTTTGTATTGTTAGTCTTTAATAAAGCGTCTTATTTATACCATATCTGAAGCTTGCGTTTCCTGTGTCAGTCCACACACTTCTGGTCACACCTGCATCCCCCGACAGCACCCCCAGTGATGGCCCAGTATACTCCACTAACTACCACATACCAGTCCCCTGCTCCCACTCGCTGCACCTATCCTTTCTTTAACCCTGTAAAGAAGTCCTCTGTAGCAACTGCTCCCTCCTGTGTTCCATCCTCCAGCTCTTCTCTGTCTCCAGCTGGTCCATCCGTTTTACAAACCTGCGCTTACTTACAGTGCTCCGGTAACTAAAACCAGGAAAAGGCGAATGTTCTTTCCAACCAGTACCATCCTGCCAGTATCCAAACCAGTCAGCCTCCCATCTGAGAACCTGCCTTCCGTGGTGCAGCCTGGTGCCTCGGCGCCCACAATTCAGCCTGATGTCTCTACCCAGCCTGATGTCTTTACCCAGCCTGATGCCTCTAACCAGCATGATGTCTCTATTCAGCCTGATGTCTCCATTCAGCCTGATGTCTCTACCCAGCATAATGTTTCTACCCAGCCTGATGAACTGATCCAGCTTGATGATCCTATTATGCCAGATGACTCGATGTCCGCTGTTCCGCCAGATGACTCGGTGCCTGCTGTCTTGCCAGTTGACTCGGAGCCCGCGGTCTTTGCCAGACGACTCGGTGCCCGCGGTCTTGCCAAACGACTCGGTGCCCGCACAGTCTTGCCAGACGGCTCGGTGCCCGCAGTCTTGCCAGGCGGCTCAGTGCCCGCAGTCTTTCCAGACGACTCAGTGCCCACAGTCTTGCCAGACGACTCGATGCCCGCTGTTCCACCAGTTGACTCGGTGCCCACAGTCTTGCCAGACGACTCGATGCCGCTGTTCCGCCAGTTGACTCGGTGCCCGCAGTCTTGCCAGACGACTCGGTGCCCGCAGTCTTTCCAGACGACTCGGTGCCCGCAGTCTTTCCAGACGACTCGGTGCCCGCAGTCTTGCCAGACGACTCGGTGCCCGCAGTCTTGCCAGACGACTAGGTGCCTGCAGTTCCGCCAGACGACTCGGTGCCCGCAGTCTTGCCAGGTGACTCGATGCCCGCTGTTCCACCAGTTGACTCGTTGCCCGCAGTCTTGCCAGACGACTCTGTGCCCGCTGTTCAGCCAGTTGACTCGGTTCCCGCAGTCTTGTCAGACGACTCGGTGCCCGCAGTCTTGCCAGACGACTTGATGCCCGCTGTTCCGCCAGTTGACTTGGTGCCCACAGTCTTGCCAGACGACTCAGTGCCCGCAGTCTTGCCAGACGACTCGGTGCCCGCAGTCTTGCCAGTCGGTGCTCGCAGTCTTGCCAGACGACTCGGCCCGCTGTTCCGCAGTTGACTCGGTGCCCGCATGTCTTGCGATGCCCGCAGTCTGCCAGACGACTCGATGCCCGCAGTTTGCCAGACTCGGTGCCCGCAGTCTTGCCAGACGACTCGGTGCCCCACTGTTCCGCCAGTTGACTCGGTGCCCGCAGTCTTGCCAGACGACTCGGTGCCCGCAGTCTTGCCAGACGACTCGATGCCCGCAGTTGCCCACAGTCTTGCCAGACGACTCGACCCGCTCGGTTGCTCGGTGCGCAGCAGTCTTGCCAGACGACTCGGTGCCCGCAGTCTTGCCAGACGACTCGGTGTGTTCACGCAGACGACTCGGTGCCCGCAGTCTTGCCAGACGGTGCTCGCAGTGCCAGACGCAGTCTTGCCAGACGACTCGATCCCCGCTGTTCCGCCAGTTGACCCGTTGCCCGCAGTCTTGCCAGACGACTCGGTGCCCGCATGCCCGCTGTTCCGCCAGTTGACTCGGTGCCCGCAGTCTTGCCAGACGACTCGGTGCCCGCAGTTCCCGACTCGGTGCCCGCAGTCTTGCCAGACGACTCGGTGCTCGCAGTCTTGCCAGACGACTCGGTGCCCGCAGTTCAGCCAGACGACCCGCAGTCGGTGCCCGCAGTTGACTTGGTGCCAGTCTTGCCAGACGACTCGGTGCCGCAGTCTTGCAGACGACTCTTGCCAGACGACTTGGTGCCCGCAGTCTTGCCAGACGACTCGATGCCCGCTGTTCCGCCAGTTGACTCGGTGCCCGCAGTCTTGCCAGACGACTCGGTGCCCGCAGTCTTGCCAGACGACTCGGTGCCCGCAGTTCCTTTTCCGCCAGACTTGACTCGTGCCCGCAGTCTTGCCAGACGACTCGATGCCCGCTGTTCCAGCCAGTTGACTCGGTGCCCGCAGTCTTGCCAGACGACTCGGTGCCCGCAGTCTTCCGCCCCCGCAGTGCCCGCAGTCTTGCCAGACGACTCGGTGCCCGCAGTCTTGCCAGACGACTCCCACAGTCGGTGCCCGCAGTCTTGCCAGACGACTCGGTGCCCAGCAGTCTTGTTCCAGACAGTTGACTCGGTGCCCGCAGTCTTGCCAGACGACGACTCGGTGCCCGCAGTCTTGCCAGACGACTCGGTGCCCGCTGTTCTTGCCAGTTGACTCGGTTCCCGCAGTCTTGTCAGACGACTCGGTGCCCGCAGTCTTGCCAGATGACTTGATGCCCGTTTCCGCCAGTTGACTTGGTGCCAGTCTTGACTCGGTGCCCGCAGTCTTGCCAGACGACTCGATGCCCGCAGTCTTGCCAGACGACTCGACGACTCGGTGCCCGCAGTCTTTCCAGACGACTCTGTGCCCACTGTTCCGCCAGTTGACTCGGTGCCCGCAGTCTTGCCAGACGACTCGGTGCCCGCAGTCTTGCCAGGTGACTCGATGCCTGCTGTTCCGCCAGTTGACTCGGTGCCCGCAGTCTTGCCAGATGACTCGGTGCCCGCAGTCTTGCCAGACGACTCGGTGCCCGCAGTCTTGCCAGACGACTCGGTGCCCGCTGTTCCGCCAGTTGACTCAGAGCCCGCCTCACACCTCCAAAATGACCCTCCCTAAGGTAGAAAATACTCTGCTTCTGACCTTCTCTCTACCTTTCTGATTATACTCATCATGGTAACATTCTCTCCATCTTTGTGATTAAACTCACCTTCAAGATTTCACACCCTTCAATGTGACTCTCTATAAGAAAATACTCTGTTCCTGATCTTCCCTCTACCTTTATGGTTACGTTAGCCACCAGGACATCACATCCTCCAACATGACCTTCCATAGAGTAGAAAATATCTTGCTCTTGACCTTTTATCATCCTTACTGATTACGTTCATCATGGGGATATCATATCCTCCAACATGACCCTTCATACGGTAGAAAATACCTTGCTTTTGATTTTCTTTGAACCTGTCAGGGCTCCCGGTAAGACCAGAGATGCGTGAACTGACACAGGGAAACGCAGGCTCAAGTATGGTGTAACAATATAATTTATTAAGGGTTATACACAAATATAAATGCACAATATAACAAAACCAAACCTCCAACTGATAACGGAATGTACACAGACAAGAGCAGTCAGGGCTGGTGAGGTGGAGTGGTCAGGCGGGCCGGGTCAGGAATCATCGGGCAGACAAGACACAAAGGAGTAGGCAGAGCGTAGTCAGACGGGCTGGGTCAGGAACAATCAGGCAGACAAGGTACCAAAGGAGCAGGCTGGAGAGTGGTCAGGAATAGCCGAGGTCAGGACAGGCGGAATTCATTCAGGGTCAGGATCAAGCAGAATCAGGCAGGAAGCAGACAGGATGCAGGTACAGGGGCTCATGGGAAACATACACCAAGGCACTGGCTGCAGGTCTGGCCATTCCTTAAATACACCTCATGCTGGCTGACTTCAGGAGTGAGCTTCTGGTTGCTGAGAGCACCCGCTGGCCAGCCCTGGTACTGCAGCCCACAAGGCAGGTGAGTCCCACCACCATTGGCAAGTCCATTCCTGACAGAACCTTTCTGAATATACTAACCACAGGGATGTTACCTTTCTCCTACATGACCCTATGTAAGGCACAAAATACTCTCTTGTTGACCATCTTCCAACCTTTATGATTACATTTACCACCAGAAAAAAGCAAAAACCCTAACAGAGAAAAAACTAATGGGACTTTTCAAGGCACCATACCATATGAAAGTATAGAAATGCCCAACATAAAAACAATAGATAAAATAGAACATGTTTTATTATAATTTTTATAAAAAAAACAAGTAAGAAAGACAACAGCCAAAATAGGCACATACATAGTAAAGCTACAAAAACAAAATATAAATCTATAAATGTCAACAGTGGGGAAAGGCTCTGGCCCAGGACGCAAAAGCTTTATTCAGTCAATAGACCTTCCAGGCACCAAGGGCTTTTGTTTGGGCAGGTCTTGCCCTTTTTTGTCCACTGCTGTGAGTTCTGCCTTTTCGCCATCCGGGTACGGCCAAGCTTGGTTTTCATCATTGGATCTTGATGGTTGGTTGCCGTATCCTTGCACAATTGGAACGAACATTGGTTTGGCTTTCTGCTGTCTATCTGACCAGAGGTACTCTTGGATTGGTGGTTTCCTCCCCGGTGTCCGCTGAACAAAGCTTTCTTCCTGTATTTTCTACCAATATTGATCTTCATCTACATCAGGTGTTACTATTGTACAGAACATTATCATCGGCACTGTTATTTTGTTTTCCTAAATTCCCTGAAGAAGTGGGTCATATCCCACGAAACGCGTCAGTTTTCTCGATCGATTATCCATTTTTCTAATTCAATCCTATGGAATTACATTTGCGTAATGATTATCTATTTCTTTAACCACTTGAGCTCCAGAGGATTTACCCCCCTTAATGACCACGCCTCTTTTTGCTACTCGGCGCTGCACTAATTCAACTGATAATTGCGCGGTCATGCAATGCTGCACCCAAACGAAATATACGTCCTTTTTTTTCACACAAATAGAGCTTTCTTTCGTTGGTATTTGATCACCTGTGCGCTTTTTATTTTTCATGCTATAAACAAAAAAAGGCCAAAATTTTTTTAAGAAAAACGATGTTTTTTACTTTCAGCTATAAAAAAAAAATAGTAAACTCAAAATCGGTTATAAAGTTAGGCCAAAATGTATTCTGCTCCATGTTTTTGGTAAAAAAAATACCAATAAGTGTATATTGATTGCTTTGTGTGGAAGTTATAGTGTCTACAAACTATGGTATAGATACTGCAATTTACGCCATTTTTTTGCTATACAGCGCTGCGCTAGTTTAACGGACAATTGCGCAGTCATGCAATACGGTACATAAATGAAATTTACATCTTTTTTTTCCCCACAAATTGAGCTTTCTTTCGGTGGTATTTGATTGCCTGTGCGGTTTTTATTTTTTGCGCTATTAAAAAAAAAAGGCTGACAATTTTGAGGAAAAAAAACAATATTTTGGACTTTTTGCTATAAAACATGTCCAGTAAAAAAAAATGCAAAAATCAAATTTAGTCATAAATTTCAGCCAAAATGTATTCTGCGACATGTCTTTGCTAAAAAAAAAACCCTCAATACGTGTAAATTAATTGGTTTACGTGAAAGTTATAGCGTTTACAAATGGCGGGAAAGATACTGGGATTTTTAGTTTTTTTTTTATACTAATAATGGCGGCGATCAGTGACTTATGGCGGTGATCAGCGACTTATGGTGGGACTGCGGCGGACATTCTGACATTGGGGGGTACTGACTTGGGGTCACTGACATCCCCAGTGACACCAATACAGTGATCAGTGCAAAAAAAAAAACACTGACACTGTACTAATGGCACTGGGGAGGAAGGGGTTACGTTTATTATTTCAGGGTAAGGCTTAACTGTGTGAGGGGGAGTGTTTTACTAGGGGGCGGGGGTGTGTACTGCAGGGAACAGCGCTGATCAGGAGAGAGAAACTCTTCTGTCCTGATCAGCATGTCCTGAAGCTGTCAGGGAACTGACAGAAAGCACAGCTACTGCAGCTGTGCTCTCTGTCAGCGATTGCCGCCGATCGCCGGGACATAGCCAGTAACGACCGGCTGTGACCCGGCGACTGACATCCACGGCTGTGATCGGCGGGACAGGTAGGTCAGCGACGTGCCTCGCGCGCGCACCCTACCTGTTTTCAAAACACACATTTTAAAACGTGCTTTTGCCCGGCTGTGCCGCCCTGCTGCCGTATTTATACAGTGGCTGGGCGGCATGTGGTTAATGTTATCGGTGGAGCTCTTGGACTCTTGCTCGTGGCGCTTTTGCATCCCGGGCCAGAGCCTTTCCCCACTGTTGCCATTTATAGATTTAGATTTTGTTTTTGTTGCTTTACTATGTATGTGCCTATTTTGGCTGTTGTCTTTCTTACCACTTGTGTGGTTTTTTTTTATAAAAAATTATAATAAAACATGTTCTATTTTATCCAGTGTTTTCATGTTGTGCATTTCTATACTTTCATATAGTATTGTGCCTTGAAAAGCCCCATTAGTTTTTTTCTCTGTTAGGTTTTGTCAGGGCAGGAGCTGAGGAAACGGACAGGCAGGCCTAACAATGTAACGCACTGGCTGACGACAACCACCACCCACAGACCGAAGTCCCTCAGGGTGCGGAGTCTAAGTCCCAGGCTGCCCTTCACCAGGGCCCCTGATGGTGGGGATGGACTTGACGCAGCCAGGAACCAGGTCGCGGCCCCCGAGACACCTCAGCTGCGGTAATGGCCGCCGCCAATGGCGTGTAGCTGGTTGAAGAGACAAAAGAGTAGTCAGACAAAGCCGGGGTCAACAACAACAGGACAAAACGGTACAGGACAGCAGACGAGAATCACAGGTCACGAGCCGGGTTCAGCAACAGAGGGTCAGATCAAAGGAGAATACAAAGAATAGTCAAGTCACAAGCCGAATCAGAATACCAGGAGAGTCACAAGAGTCAGAACAGAGTAATAGCAACACAAAGACACAAGACACAAGTGCAAAGAGCATGTGCGGGCCACAGGCTTATATGTCATCAGCCACACCCCTCTGGGGGATGGACCACAGAAACCTGAAGGCATAAAAGGATTCCCATCATGCACAGCAGAATCCAAGATGGACGCCAGCACATGGAGTAACATAACCTCAGGGAAAAGGTAGGACCTTGACAGGATTTTGATTTTTTTTTTTCTGATTAAACAGGGTTGTGGCACCTCTAAAAACACTACACAAGGGACAGGTGAGATTGAATGTCTCTCCAGCTCCCATCCTATCTTCTGTCTAACTACATTTACCACCAGAATATCCCCCCTCCACCATGACCCTTTATATGATAAAAAATACTCTGTTCCCAACCGTCTATCCACCTTTCTGATTCGGCTCACCCAGATATTACATCCTTCAACATGATCCTCCATAAGGTCGAAAACACTCTGATTCTGACCTTCCCTACACTTTCTGATTCTCTACCTTTCT